TAAGCACTCCACCTTCCTTCCCTTTGCCCCGGCAGGCTTTGCACCCTGCCCCCTCCCCCAGGTCATCATGCTCTCCCTCACCAAGATCAAGGGGCCTTGATCTGCCCCTCCACCCTTCCCCTCCACAGATTTACCAGCTGGACACTGCTCTTCACACTGCTGGGCTGCATTCCTGTAGAGTTACCATATTTCCAGTTTCAAAAAAGAGGACACCTGTGAGGGAATAATATGATTGGGGGGGACAGTGATAAGCCTGTGCCCTGCCCCTGCTTCTCACTCCAAGCTACAGTGCCCCCCTCCCCAGCCCTGCTGGTGTCCCTTACTCCTGACCCACAGTACTCTACATCCTGGTAGGGCATGTGAGGAGCTCCCCTGCCTGGGCTCCAAACCCCACACATGCATCCACAGCCCCCCACACCTTCACAAATCCCCTCCCACACACACACCCCACACCCACCCTCCAACCATACAAATTATCTGCATAATGTTGCATAACTTTGAGTATTTCTGTGCATAGGATTGAGTTTTTAGCTGTGCAATTAAAATCACAATTAATTGTGACTATTGTTTTTAAATCACACAACTAATCGCGATCACATTTTAATTGCTTAACAGCCCTAGTTGTACCCTATATAGTTTAACATATAATAGCAGCAATGAAACCCAGCCCAGGCATCCTCACCATTTGTTGGAGAGAAATAAGTACTGTTTGGTGAAAAATCAGCTTTTTTTAGGCTGTATGTGTGTTTGACTGGTTCGGGGCAGGGGTAAAATGTATAACCCCCTCCCCCCAAATAACAATTCATTCAAAATACAAAAAAATTAAATGACTTGCAACTTGTATGTGTACCCAGATGCTGTGTGCTTTGCTGCATCTTGATTAGTGGATTATTCTTCATTAACAAGGCATCCACATTTGATATAGGCTGGGTAGTCTTAGGGAGTCAGATACATTAATGCACATTTAGTTTTCACATATGTGTTTAAATGATGTAATAGAATGGTGCCCAAGGGCCACTGTGATGCCCCCTAATTGCTGCTTTGATCTTGACTGGCTACCGCCCCAGCCCCTGAGAATCTCACGCTGCTTCCTCGCCTGCCATGCTTTGATGTTAAGTCAGTAACGCTAGCATGGTAACATACATTGGGCTGCTCCAAATGGGCTGCCTGCTAAACTGGAACAGTGTAGCCATCTCCATGGCTTAGCTTGGGTGTGCACTAACTGTCATTATCACTCAGCAGGCTTACTAAAAGATTAGCAGGCCTGGCAGATTTCAACAAATCTGCAAATTCTGTTAATATCTTGTCACAAGGAGATGAAAAAGAAAGAAGCAGGCTTGCTTATCCTGTCTCAAGCACCATGCAGAGGTAACTATACTGCTTCTAGTGTAGGAGGCAGCTCACCCACAGCAGTGTAGTGTGTTTGGGGGGGTTCGTTCCCAAGATGGCTAGCTTTATGTATAGTCCTAGCATTAGCACCCATCTCACTTGAGACTTGGATTTCTAAGTGGCTTAGGTGCTTCTGAAACTTATCTTTAGTATGAAACCACATGAAAAGCCACTTTTTAAATGGAAGAAAAGACATTGTAAATACCATTAGTCAAATGTTCTAAACCATCTTCTAAGGGCACCGACAGACATGCAGGTCCCTGCTTTAACTCATGGTGCATTGCATAAAGCACCATGGGTTAGAGCGACCTCCCCCCCACAATCCAACAGATGTTCACCAGGGTTAGGGGGTGGGGGAGGATCGAGCCTAACTGTCTGTCCTGTGATTGGGGCTGGGCTGATGCAGACCTGCCCCCCCTCCCACCGCTGGTGCTGTCTGCAGGAAGGGAGAGGAGAGGGAAGAGGAAGCTGCAGGCTGGGGTTTCCATGGCCTGAACTGAAGACAGGAGGAAAAGAGGGGAATGTGAGGTGGGGAGCTCCAATCCACCCCCCACCCACCCCCAGCTCAGACCGGGCAAACCTGTCGTATCTCCCCCTCCCCCCTGCAGATAGCACTGGGGGCAGAGCTGGGCTGCATTAGCCCAGCCTCAATCATGCTAACAGATTGACCCTAGGGAACACAAGTTCCCTAATGTGCTCTACTTTGGAGTGCCTTCATCCGATCCCTCATTAGATAAGGGTTAATTTATCATGCAGTTGTCCACTTTTAAAGCACTGTGCACCTGTACATGTGTCATGGTGCAGCTGTAGAGAGCTTTCAGGGGGCCAGTTGCATGACAAATATAACTTCTATCTGTGCCCTAAAATTACAATTGCATTCGTTTTAGACCCAATACTGCAAATACAAAACTCTGAGCCCAGCTCAGAAGACCATTCAATGGAACTAATCATGTTTTAAGTATGTGCTTATATCTGCATCAAGAGCACTCTGGCCTTGAAAAAGTTTGCATACAGAAATCTTCAAGAAAACAATAGTTTTATAACAGATATGTTGACAGTCTCACTGAGATTGGCATAGTACCACTCTCATTTTCATAAACTAAGAAAACGAGCACTAGAAATCAATTCTCAGAAGAGGTATATAGAAAATCTGGGTTTATAAAAATGCTGCTGTTTAGTGGCTGAGGCCTACATTGTGATGAGCATGTTCAGCTCAACATATTTTGTTTCACAGAGTGTTATGACTATCTTTCAAGACTGGACTCTTAATTTGGGGGGGAAGGTGAGGGACAATATCAGTACAAGGTGAGAGTAAATGTGAATATTAAGTAAATATAAGTCACTCCTCACTTGTAGACCTATTTAAGCTGTGCAGTAAGAATGCTTGAGGAATACCTGTTTGTTTTTTTTAAATGCCATGAATTATCTAGAGATGTGATAATACACTAGAATTCTAATTCACGTGTTTTGCTACCCAGACAACACAGGCCACGTGATTGATCTGGTAAATGATCAACTGCCAGATGTCAAAATCTCTGATGAAGATAAAAAGAAGAATCTTGAGTTATTAGAAGAAGCAAAAAAAGTGAGCGAGAGGTTCCTAATGCGCAGAGGCAGAAAATCAAGAAGCAGTTTTCCTGAGTCTCCCACAGGTAAGTGCCAACTATGAAAATAATTTAGTGTTGTAAATTTCAGAGGTTTACTGATATAAAAAATGTATTTTCAACCAGGGCATTCACAGTTAATGGCTTTGTGCATATACTGGTAATCTGCCTCAGGATGTTATCAGAGTCTCTTTCTGACTTCCTTCAAAGGCTAGTGTAAGTCCTTTCCATTTAGAACTAGAAAAAGTGTTTTGTACAGAAATGTTTTCCACCAAGGATTTTATTTTATTTACTTGTTTATTTATTTTTGCACACTGAAAGGTTTTGTGGGAAGCTATCAGTTTTTATTAATATTGTGATTTTTCTTTGGGGCTTATTTACATAAAAGTGAATAATTTTCATAGTTTCATAGTTTCTAGGGTCAGAAGGGA